ACAGGGTTGACTAATGCTGCAAGTGCTGCAAAGTTTTTAAATATTTATTTCAGTGCTGCATCATACGTGGAATATGCAGACTCATACATTTACTGTACCTGCAGCACAGTCAATGATACTGAAAGCTGTAATCCAATGAATTTGACTTATAATTACAATTTGAAGCATGTTATCTATTGCTGTAGATGGTTGCAATGTTTTCTTTGTTACACCAATGAGGAATTAAGCTGATTTATTGTTGGAAATTGACATTGAAGTAATTCATGACCATAATTTATTTTTCTGTATGATAATTCCTCTCTCATAACTATGATCTCAATGTCATCATCATTTCATGAAATCCTACATTTACTTTTTTGTTGAGGGTAGACTTGTTGGCACTTCCGGTACTTTTATGGGTTTGCAATACCCCATTTATCATTATCATTTCATACTTATGATAAAGAAATGAAGGGCTTGGTTTGTGCACCTTTGCTTGTGTTTTGAGTGTTCTTGTATTACTCTTTTTTAAAGAAAGTCTTCTTTCAAGTTGAATCTGTGTTAACTTGTCTTCACACTGTTACAATGGGGAAAAGATTAAGTGATGGCAACCAGTGTTGTTACATTTGGAAGTCCCACCAAAATCCAGGAAGAGGATTGAAGAGATCTACCATGCCCATGACTGAAGCCAAGATAAAGGTGCAGCTAGACGAGGCTTGTACCTCAGTAGAGTCTTTTAAGCAGGAGGTAAATGGGATTACAAAGGAGAAGGATGCTCGAGTAGAGATCACAGAGCTACGCGCAACGGTTGTGGAACTGAAAAAAGCAGCCCAAGGAGATGCCACAGGTGATGTTGAGGATCAGCTTGTGGAAACCCAATGGAGGCTAGAGGAGTCAGAGAGGGAGTCTGAAGTTGCAATTGTGAGGGCAAAGGATACTATCAGAAAGGAACTGCACCAGATACTCAAGCAGGAGCTTCAATCTCTGTATTACCTGATCCAGTTATTCAGGGACAAGGTAGAGCAAATGCAGCAGCTGGTGGAAACTACTGGTGATGGAGCTTGTCGCCGACCGACAGCTATGAGATTCAGTGAGACAATAAACATGTTTAACAGGGAAGATGTAGATGATAAAGGAACGTTTTTGAGGTGGCTCCGTAAGCTAAAACGGATAGCTGAATTATATTATTGAAGCGATGGCGAAAAGCCAATTCAGTTTAAGTTGCTGTTAACAAGAAGGGCTGAGAAGTTGTATGAGTTGTTACCAGCTGGGGATCGTTCATCTTATTAGGAAGCCACTGAGGGGTTAAAGAAGCTAATAATACCAACTAAAAGAAAGGTGCTTAGGTCCGCACAGTTCCTGAAGAGGAGACAACAGGCTAATGAGTCTGTTGACTCATTAACTCAAGACTGCTCTTTGATCAGAGCTATGGCCAGAGGCAGGAAATGGATGAAGTTTCTAGCTCTATAATCAAGATGGATCTATTTATACAAGGCTTGCTTCTGATGTCGCAGGAGATGTCCTACCATCAGCAGAGATGTACAAAGATGTGCTACACCAAGCCAGGATAACACAGGAGTATTCAAAGCAACTAGCCAAGATGCACCCTGGTCAGCATAATGCAGTTCACCTAGCAATAAAGACCACTGACCAGAGTGATAGCAATCATAGTCAAAATTAATGTCCAATACCTATAGCAAGGAGCAGCATAAGCCAATGTGTCACAGGTGTGGGAGCACTTGACACCTCATTAAGGAATGTGACATGAGGAAATCCACCGCTGAGACACCTGGAAGAGAGCAACATTCTAGCAACACAATTATGGGCCAGTATCATGACAATAGGGATGGAGTATGTGAGAAACTTTACCAGCAATGGTTGGAAGCTGAACTGGCAAGAATGAAAAGAACATTACAAGTAGACACTGTTACTGGAGCTGTTGGACGATTGTATTATTGCGAAGCAGAGGAAGGTCAGCCAATACAAGCTCAAATCGATTCAGGGTCTTTGGCCACTCATAATGATGACTTTTAATCTTTATTAGAGGATCGTGAAGAAAGCGAACCTTCAAGTGAACACACTCAAGAAACCTGACGTAGTACTGAGGGACTACAATCAGTACCCACACAAGATAGGGGCTGTAGCCAAATTAGAAGTCAAGTTTGAAGGAAAGACTGTGCTGACCCCCATATACGTCAGTGTGGACTCTGAGACTAGACTGACTGTATCATGTATATTTGGTACTAACCTTTTATTTTCTTTAGGAATATTGCGTGAGTCTGAAGGTGTGGAGAGGAGGTTGGGCTTGTGGATTGTCGGAAGTCAATGACAGTTTCAGTAAAGCCAGTGAAAGGTGGTAGAATTCCAGCTAGAAGAGGAGTTTTACTGCTCCTGATAGTAGAGACAACTATGGATCTTGAAGCGTCATTCTACTTCAAGCCACATGAGTCGTGTAACATAGTTGTAGCAGAACTGGTTTATATTGATGGGGGAGAGCTGAACCTACCTGTGATGAATGTGTCAGATGAGGCCATAAACTTAGACGAACGATTGTGTGACTATGGTAGAGATTGGTTATGAAGGTAATCTGCACATTGACACCAATGAGAATAAAGGCGGAGTGATTACTATGTTGCAGATTGGAGTGCCTACCTTACTGACTGTGGATGAGAGATGGCAGCAACTAGAAACCATTTTGAGGAAAAATGGAGTGACAATTTCAGAGAAAATTCTGGAGTGTACCTTGGAGTTTCACAGAGTCTTTTTACTAGAGGAAATGGAGAAACGACCAGTAAGGGTGTGGAGCATACCATAGACACTGAGGACAAGAAGCCAATCAAATAAGCCGTGAGATGTTTTCGTTTCGCCCCACAAGAGAAGATCTCTAAGTTAGTGGAAGAAATGATGAAGAATGGAGTTATCAGTTCATCATCTAGCCCACGGGCCAGTCTTGTTATTGTGAGGAAGAAGGATGGCAGTCTATGTCTTTACGTTGATTATCCACAACTAAATGCCATCACTTGGAAAGACGTGTTTCCTCTTCTCCATATAAATGACACTCTAGACCAGCTGCAAGGAAAGTACATTTTCTTTACTTTCGATTCTTGAAAAGGATATTAACAGATTCCTGTTAATGAAGATTCAAAACAGAAGACAGCATTTGTAACTCATGATGAACTTTTTAAATTTAATGTTATGCCTTTCGGCCTCTGCAATGACCCAGCCTCTTTCCCAAGACTGATGCAGCAGATTCTCACAGGATTGGGTAGTTTTTGTAATGTATAGATTGATGACGTTCTTATATTTTCTGGAATTTGGAGGAGCATTAAATTCACTTACAGAAGGTGTTCAAGTGATTAGAGGAATACTGCCTTATGTTACATACCCAGAAATGTCAACTGGCACTCCCTGAGGTCGAATGCCTTGGACACCTTATCTTAGCTGAGGGAGTTCCACCAAATTCTAATGAGGTGGATGCTGTGAAGCAATTCACAATTCCAAGTTGTGGCAGGGCTGTGAGAGGATTCATTGGAATTTGTAGCTACTATTGAAAGTTTGTGCCTGGCTTTGCTGAGATTGCATATCCTATTAATCAGCTATTGCATAAGGAAGTACCATTCGTGTGAATTGGTGTGTCAACAGTCGCTTCAAAAGCTACACGATGTACTAACCTCACCCACTGTCCTGGTGTATTTGGATTTTAGTAAACCATTCGTTCTTCGTACAGATGCTAGTGGTGAAGGATTGGGAGCAGTGTTGGAGCTGATACAGGATGATGGTACCTCTCATTCTATTGCATATGCAAGCAGTACAGTATCACCTCATGAAAGGAGGTATGGTATTACTGAACTTGAAGCTTTGGGTGCGGTCAGGACACTGAAGCATTTCAGAGCCCACATCTGGGGTCACAAGACTACATTGTACACAGATCATTCACTGGTGAGATCACTATTTTATGCCAAGCATTCCTGTGGTAAATTAGCGAGGTGGTCCAAAGCTGTTTCCGAATACGATCTGGAAATTCATTATCGTCCAGGAAGGCAGAATGCCAATGCTGATGCAATGTTTCGATTGCCTCTTCAAGCTAACATGGGAAGCAGCTCCTTAGAGACAATTCAGATAGCTACTATACTATATCCCAACTGAGTTTGACCCAAAAAAAACTGGAATAACTTTTTATAGGAATGTGGGATAAAAATGAGACTTTCACAGGTTCTTAGTCGCCCAATGCCATCACAGGATTTCAGGTCTTGGGTCTCTCAGCCCTTGGAAACCCTGAGAACCGGGTTCTCCCTATAAACCCAATGGCATACCAAAATGACGTTTTATGACAATTTATGTACGTTATAGTTTACATGAGAACATGTGGTCGAGCCCCCAAACTGATAATTCTTTTTAAAAGCTAACAGAGCAAGATCTTCTCATAATGATTGCCTCTATAAAGACTAGTTGACTCCCGCAGCTATTGTACTGCTTATCAGAACAAACAAAGCCCGTTTAAGAGTGCAATACAGGCCAACTACGCAGCTGTAAAATGTCGGCCATGCTTCTATGAATATCATTATAAGACGTCATCAGTGACGTATAAATACATTTTCAAATTTCAAGCGGCTGGTGTCAAACTCAGTTGGGATATAGTATATTACTCCATCAGATGAAGAGGAGTATTTTAGCTACTGCAAAAGGACCCTAAGTTAAAGCGAGTTCTCATTTCTTTAAATGGAAAGGATAAGCATAATGATTTTGTATTGGCTAATGATATACTGTACTACTGTGGTGGGAAGTCATTACGGTTGTGTTCCTTTAGCAAAAAGGAGACGTCGCTCAAGCCTGCTTGCAGTGGCAGTTTTGCTGGACACTTCTCTGGTAAGCAATCTATAACTCACTGGTTGGGATGCTCTCTCTCTCATTGTAAGGGATGTCTTACCTGTGCATCATTTGACAGAGCTGGGAGGAGAATGAAGCCACCACTCATGCCAATCCCTGCGGTTAGACCTTTTTATCGTGTGGGTGTAGATATCATGGAGTTACCACTGACCGTTCATGGCAATAAATATGTCACTGTATTTATGGACTATCTGACCAAGTGGGTTGAAGCATTTCCAGCTGCAGACGAAACCAGTGAGGCAATAGCTATATTACTTGCTAATGAGATAATTTTTCCACATGAAGTACCAAAAAAACTGTCATCTGATTAAGGTTCTAATCTGTTGTCTGGATTGATGAAGGATGTCTATCCATTCACAGGAATTGAAAAAATCAATACTACTAGCCATCTACAGATGGACAAATTGGTGGAAATTATGGACAGGATCCTTCACGCTATGATTGCTAAGTACAGCTCACTACAAGGTGAGAATTTGGACGAATACTTACCGAAACTATCATTTGCTTATTGTACCATGTACCATGAGAGTACCAAGGAATTGCGTTTCTTCCTACTGTATGGGAGGGATGCATTAATACGTGGTGATGAAGCGCTATCTCACAGGAGGCATACTGGTATGGTTGATGTAGACGATTACAAATCTGAACTGATGATTAGTTTGGCCAAAGCATGGTATATCACCTGGAGCTCAATTTCTAAGGCCCAGAAGGCTCAAAAGAAGCAGAATGATAAGGAGGTCCGAGTAAAAGCCATCTGAGTGGGAAACTGAGTTATGGTGTATATGCCACATGGGGCTTTGAAAAAGAATCAGAAACCGGCCCGCCCACACTTTGGTCCATATCGAGTGGTAGAGGTACATCCAAATGGAGTGACAGTAAAACCAGTCAACAAACTGAGAGATGCTACAATTACATTTAATTTGGATCATGTCACTCTCTGCCCTAATGAATTGCCAGACACTAGCTGGTTGGGTAAACGTTCTTGTAAATAAACTGAAGGTGCTACAGATATTGTATTGAGTCTTGATTGTATTAATATTGCTAATATTGTGCATGATTTTATTACTACTATTATTGTTGTAAATAATGTTGTCGTGGAGTCAATATTGTATTGCATGAGTTATTTTTTCGCATTATTATTAATAGTGTCTTATTAGTAATGTGTTATTAAGATGCTTGTGTGTGCATCATTAATGACTGGTAATATCAGTTTGATATTATTGTGACCATCGTTCTGTTACATAGCGAGCTGTGCTCTGCTCGTTATTGGTGCGGGGGGGAATTGCAATACCCCATTTATTCATTATGATTTTCTTATTAGTATTATTATTAAATGAAGGGCATGGTTTGTGCACCATTGCTCGTGTTTTGAGTGGTCTTCTATCACTCTTTTTGAGTTTTTTTTAAACTGAATCTCTGTTAACTAGTCTTCGCCCTATTATTTTAGGGAATATATTAAGCGATAGCCCCCAGCGTCATTACAGGTACACTGTTAAAACGAAAGTGTTTTTCTACACTCAAGCGTGTTAAAAATTTGGGTGTTGCTAACTGCTAGAGTGTTGAATCCATCCAACTTGGTGTTGTCTCATTTAAATGAGGTGTCATGATATTCATGTTCTTTTGTTTAACATATCTAACACCCATCAGTGTTGTTCATCAGCTCTTGTAGGCGGAAGTTATTTATAACCATTAATAACTAATAATAAAATGCCAAAATGGTGAAAAATCTTTTTTTTAATGATAAGGTTATTATCTTTTATCATCC